ACACACACACACACACACACACACACACGCACACACACTTGCACACACACGCAGACACACACAGAGGGACACGCACGCACATACACACACACTCTAACACAGAGACACACACACATGCACACACTCGCACATACACACAGAGACACACAGAGGGACACGCACGCACACACATACACACACACACACTAACACAGAGACACACACACTAACACAGACACACACACAGAGGGACACGCACGTGCACACACACACACCCACACACACACTAACACAGACACACACGCGCACGCACACATGCACACACTCGCACATACACACAGAGACACAGAGGAACACGCACACACACACACACACACACACACACTAACACAGAGACACGCGCGCACGCACACACACACACACACACACACACACACACACACTCGCACATACACACAGAGACACAGAGGGACACGCACACACACACACTAACACAGAGACACGTGCGCATGCACACACACACACTCGCACATACACACAGAGACACAGAGGGACACACACACACACACACAGACACACACTAACACAGAGACACGTGCGCACGCACACACACACACACACACACTCGCTCGCACATACACACAGAGACGCATGCACACGCATACACGTACACACACACACACACACACACACACACTTCATTTGTTGGATTAATTTGACTTCAGCAGTAATCGAGTCTTCATATCAGACTCTTGCACCATCACATGCTGCTCATGACACTTTGTGTTCTCGTGTGTCCCAATTATCTCTCCTCATGGCTGAAGTCACACGCAGGGCAGAATAAAACTCCCTCACTAGTAACACTTGAAACATTAAACCCACAACTTTAGCAAATCATCTTATTTTTGGCTTGTTGGACCTTCTCTCGGGTCGTCCCACTGTCGGTTCTGGCTGGTGGGGCACATCGAGGCTGGAAGCTGCTGCTGGTGAGTTTTCATCACAAATAGGTGTTTCTGGTTGTTGCTCCTGCGTCTCCAGCAGCACGTGGCTTCTGTCCGTACAGAACAGGACGGTTGATGTCTGTGGCCCAAAGGGTAAAACCCAGCAATAATCGCGTTCCCACAAACGCTTCCTAAGAAAATTCTTCTAAACTATAAGATTGTTTTAACCTTCTCGGTGGCCTAGTGGTAGAGTCCGTCCTGGGACTGGGAGATCCGGGATCAAATCCCGGTCGGGTCATTCCAAGACTTTAACAAAGGGACCCAACGCCTCCCTGGTTGACGCTCAGCTTTAAAGGGTTGGGGGGGTTAAACCACCAACTGGTTCCCGAGCGCAGCCGCAGCTCACTGCTCCTCTCAGGAAGGGGTCACGTGAAATGAATTTCACCAGTGTGTGACGCCTAATGGGACTTTAACTTGGCCTTCACTTTTTAAGAGACATGAAAGTGGTGAAAAAAGCATATTTATGCCTTTTCTGTGTGTAGAAATCACGGTAAGCTGCTGGAAAATCTTTAACAACCTTAAAAGTCGATGGAAACGGACTTGAATTTGATTTTGGTAAAAATAAAAGAACAATGACTGCTAATGTTTTTGCACGGACTTGTTTACGAGAACGTTTCCCGAGTCCTTGGACAGATTTTAATGAAGTAATCTTTGCATGCACATCTACTGCTGATTGGATGTTTGAGGGTGGACCTTACAGCTAATAACAGTAAACTCACAAAAGGCTCGAACTCTATGTTGTCCATCCAGAATTAATTATTGAGGGTTAACAATTTTTTAAGGTTTAACTTGATGTTATTTTGAAGATTTGACCAAAGTGGCATCCAAGTCTTGCGTGGGATCGAGCCTTCCTTAAAGGCCTCGAACTCCCGTTGTTTACCTAAAACTCATATTTGATTTTTCACCTTCCTTATCTTTAGATTAGACATTATGAGGTCTAGAAATGGGATGTTTCTAGAACCCTAGCCTAGAAATCTAGACCAACCGTAGTAGGCTGCAGGTTGGTCCAGCCACGCTCCATTGGCCTGATCGGTTTTGTGTCTAGCCAGTCACAGCGCTCTACATTTGTTGGGCAGGCTAATCTTAAGAGCTGCGATGATAAAGATGGCATCAGCTCGGGGCGATTTAGACTTGAGCTTTACTTTGAGACACCAACAGATAGCGGTTCTTATGGAGCTGTTTGCTTCTTCAGCGTTGTGTGATGGACTTCCCCGTTGGCTGATTTCTGAGTATGTCACGTTGCTTGTTGCTCTAATTGGTCCGAGGCTGTCCAGTTGTGTGAAGAGCCTGAGAGTTTGATAGACAACGCCCCACGGCTTGGTGCTTTCAATGGCCAGACTATTAAATTTTATTTATAAAGCACCAAATCACGACAAGAGTCATCTCAAGGCACTTCACATAGTAAACCTTCCAATACAGGTCAGTTCATTAAGCCAATCAGAAAAAGTTTCCTATATAAGGAACCCAGCAGGTTGCATCGAGTCACTGACTAGTGTCAGTGACTATACAGCAATCCTCATACTAAGCAAGCATGCAGCGACAGTGGAGAGGAAAACTCCCTTTTAACAGGAAGAAACCTCCAGAGGATCCTGGCTCAGTATAACACACACACGCACGCACGCACGCACGCACGCACGCACGCACGCACACACACACACACACACACACACACACACACACACACACACACACACACACACACCACACACACACACACACACACCAAGTAGTGTTTCTATGGTTACATTGTGATGTCTTAGTAAATATTCTATTTGGTGAGAGATAAACTTTATTGTATTTATCCTAGTGGATCTATAATTAAACGGGTAAACTAGTAGTAGCACATCCAACGTCAAAGAGAGTAAAGTGTTAATATCAGGAGAGGGAGAATGTTTAAGTGGTTAGCAGCAGTGTGCTAGACGATGGCCCCCTCCATGAGGCCACCACAGCTCAGCAGAACATCATTGTAGCTTCTTCTGGGGAGAAAAACACTTAGAGAGAAAATAAAGTTAACAGCTGAAATAGCAGGAAATAATACAGTTAAAGAGCAGATTGTAGAAGAAAGCAGTAGAGTGTGGAAAGTGGTCAGTGTATCCTCCAGCAGTCTAAGCCTATAGCAGCATAACTACAGAGATAACTCTGGATAATCTATCCTATTTAGATGTAGGCATGTTGGAGGCAGGACAAGGGAGAGCCGTCTTTACCGACTGTACACTCCACCTCCCTCTACTCCCCCACTTGTCCAGATCTAGGCTAACATCAGATATTTACATATATAGGATGGCTTGCCAGGCTACTAAAACCCATCATCTGCCATAAAATTTGGTCATTGATTAGAAGTGGAAATGTGATTTATTGTGCAGAAAACAACCTAATCACATCCGGCTATCTTCAGGGCCAAGCAGTCTCGCGAACATTGACCTGCATACAAACTCTCTGTTTGTCATACAGCGTTGTCTCGGGGACCAGACTGTCATACGTGCACGTTTAGGCGCTCCTCTCCTTGTTGCTGTTGGTCCACGGCCACTCCCTCATCTCCTAATGCTGGTCTTATGCAGAGTTAGCAGCTGAGGAACCCGAGAGAGACAGCTGGCATTCTACAGGCTCACTGGAGCAAACCGATCCTCATCAGTCAAACGGCACAGGGGCCGACTGGACAGCTGCTCTGGGATTGGCCAATGATAGCTTATACCTTAGAAAGGGGGAGGACATTTGCCTCTGGTCTGCACTTAAACTGATGCTTTTAATCTTAGCCATTGTGCAAAGAGCTTTACAATATGTTTGTAATTCACCCTTCTCCACACGTGCACATGCTGACTTTGGATTAATCCTGACTAGGGTTGTCACGGTGTGAAAACGTAACCTCACGGTTATTGTGACCAAAATTACCACAGTTTTCGGTATTATCGTGGTATTTTTTTAAACGTGTTACACTTTCAGACAACTAAATAATCCCTGTATATCAGGAAAATATTGTCCTCAGTTTGTGTCTGAATTTAGCCTAAATGTGTTATTTTGTAATTATGTTGTTTATTTATTTACATATTTCCCCTTTAGTCTTTAAAATACCAATATTTGCCCATAACTTCTTATTTTTTGTCTGTTTGATGTCATCGTTTTAAAAATATTAGATCAGATGATACTCAGTACTCAAGTAGCCTTCTAATCAGGTACTTTTTTACCCTTACTTGAGTAATAAACCCTATATCAGGAAAATATTGTCCTCGGTTTGTGTCCTTCCGGTGAGCTTTGCAGATTTGGGAAAATGTCATCAGGCAGTAATCATTGTTAAATTCATAATTATTCTCGGAGAGAGACCAACTCTTATCTGCCCCTGGGAGCCCCGTAATGCATAGCGTCATTTCAACATGGGGGTGTCCGCGACACGGTTTATATGCAGGTAGCGGCGCTGCGGCGGCTTTATATAGCGACTCGTTGCATTCTCCCTCAACCCAAATCCTCGGATCACGCATTTGAGCTTAAATGCTAACGTTAGCTTGCCTTGCGTTGACTGTAGAGTTGTGGGTGATGGTCACGCAGATGTGTCATGAGATTTGAAGCGTTGCTGCCTTTCACAGACACTTTTTCTGCACGTGCTGCAAACAGGATAGCCGTCCCAGCAAATGTGATCACTTTTCTCTGTTAACCCATAATAAAGACATTAAAGAACCAAACTTCATGAAGGTTTTTTGTGACAAAGAAGTATCTGTTCCAATCACTCTATCAGAGAAAAATCAGAGTTTTAGAAATAACGGGACACTCAGTAGAGCCATTATATTATATTTTTTACAAGTGTATGTAAACTTCTGACCACAACTGTAAGTGTTAGCTGCAATAGCTGGAAGCCATTGTTGTTTTATTATTAAACACTCTCCTCCTGCTGGTTTCAGCATCTAATGAACTTGCTGTACTTTCATCTACGGGGGTCCCAAAGTTACACTGACTCTGTACAAGTCGGGCTTGATGCTGTTGACGTGTGTGTTGCACTAACAAACACTCGTTCTGTGTCTCTGCTTCTAGGTGTTAAATGAAGAGTGTGATCAGAACTGGTACAAGGCAGAACTAAATGGGAAAGACGGATTCATTCCCAAGAACTACATAGAGATGAAAGCCCATCCGTAAGTATTCCACCTAGTCGAGGTGGACCTGTGAAAACTCGCATTTCAAGTGTAAACGGGTTCAGGTGAGGGATGCGACTCACCTGCTGTTAAGCTATCATCAGTGGGAGTTAGGAGTGCATAGAAGTGCACCTGATGGATGTTATAAACACCTGATGGATGTTATAACACCTGATAGAAGTTATAAACACCTGATAGAAGTTATAAACACCTGATAGAAGTTATAAACACCTGATAGAAGTTATAAACACCTGATAGAAGTTATAAACACCTGATAGAGGTTATAAACACCTGATGGAAGTTATAAACACCTGATGGAAGTTATAAACACCTGATAGAAGTTATAAACACCTGATGGAAGTTATAAACACCTGATGGATGTTATAAACACCTGATAGAAGTTATAAACACCTGATAGAAGTTATAAATACCTGATAGAAGTTATAAACACCTGATAGAAGTTATAAACACCTGATAGAAGTTATAAACACCTGATAGAGGTTATAAACACCTGATGGAAGTTATAAACACCTGATAGAAGTTATAAACACCTGATAGAAGTTATAAACACCTGATGGAAGTTATAAACACCTGATGGAAGTTATAAACACCTGATAGAGGTTATAAACGCCTGATGGATGTTATAAACACCTGATGGAAGTTATAAACACCTGATAGAGGTTATAAACACCTGATGGATGTTATAAACACCTGATGGATGTTATGAACACCTGATTGAAGTTATGAACACCTGATTGAAGTTATAAACACCTGATTGAAGTTATAAACACCTAATTGAAGTTATAAACACCTGATGGATGTTATAAACACCTGATGAAAGTTATAAACACCTGATGGATGTTATAAACACCTGATGGATGTTATAAACACCTGATGGAAGTTATAAACACCTGATGGAAGTTATAAACACCTGATGGATGTTATAAACACCTGATGGAAGTTATAAACACCTGATGGAAGTTATAAACACCTGATGGATGTTATAAACACCTGATGGATGTTATAAACACCTGATTGAAGTTATAAACACCTGATTGAAGTTATAAACACCTGATTGAAGTTATAAACACCTGATTGAAGTTATGAACACCTGATTGAAGTTATGAACACCTGATTGAAGTTATGAACACCTGATTGAAGTTATAAACACCTGATTGAAGTTATGAACACCTGATGGATGTTATAAACACCTGATGGAAGTTATAAACACCTGATGGAAGTTATAAACACCTGATGGAAGTTATAAACACCTGATGGAAGTTATAAACACCTGATGGATGTTATAAACACCTGATGGAAGTTATAAACACCTGATGGAAGTTATAAACACCTGATGGATGTTATAAACACCTGATGGAAGTTATAAACACCTGATGGAAGTTATAAACACCTGATGGATGTTATAAACACCTGATGGAAGTTATAAACACCTGATGGAAGTTATAAACACCTGATGGATGTTATGAACACCTGATTGAAGTTATAAACACCTGATTGAAGTTATGAACACATGAACACAAGATGGAACAGCTAAAATTATACAAGGTCCGGCCTCTGTGTGTGTGTGTGTGTGTGTGTGTGTGTGTGTGTGTGTGTGTGTGTGTGTGTGTGTGTGTGTGTGTGTGTGTGTGTGTGTGTGTGTGTGTGTGTGTGTGTGTTTTTAGGGTTCTGTTAAAGGAAACTTCTCACATTATCATAGGGGTGAGAATCTTTAGGCTCCTTATTGTTTGATGCTGTTAACTGCTCACAGGAAATGGAACACCTCCCTGCTGTGTGACTACTGGGTGTTTCTGAAGAGAAACCATCTTAACGACCCAACGTTGCGTACTTAAAATCACTCTCCATCCATCCTTTTTCCTCCACTTATCTGGGGTCGGGTCGCGGGGGCAGCAGCCTAACCAGAGAGGCTCAGAATTCCCTCTCTCCAGCTGCTTGGGTCAGCTCCTCCAGGGGAATCCTGAGGTGTTCCCTGGCCAGCTGAGAGACATCGTCCCTCCAGCGTGTCTTGGGTCTTCCATTGGGCCTCCTCCTGGTTAGACGAGCCCAGAAAACCTTGCTTGGGAGGTAGGGCTGGGCGATATGGCCTAAAATCAATATCACGATATATTGAGGATTTCACCTCGATAACGATAAATGGACGATAATTACAGATGTGCTCAGAAACAAAAGTTGTCCACTAGATGGGGCTGTCACACGTATTACGTTGAGTCACATTTTTACGTGACTCAGGTGGTACAGCTTTAAAAGGACATGAACGTTGCTAACCTACACACACCTTTTCATTTTTTAATTGTCAAATTTATTGACATGGATAAAATTATCTCGATGAGACTCAGAAATTTCGATAACGATAAGTTTTCAATTTGTCGCCCAGTCCTACTGGGAGGCGCCTGTTGGGGCGGCAGTAGCTCAGGTGGTAGAGCGGGTTGCCTCATGATCGGAGTGTCATGGGTTCGATTCCAGCTCCCGCCAGGGGTATCCTGCTGTTGTGTCCTTGGGCAAGACACTTCACCCAACTTGCCTGTGTTAGTGGTGGTCAGAGGGGCCGACGGTGAGAAATGGCAGCCTCGCCTCTGTCAGACCTCCCCAGGGCGGCTGTGGCTACAAGTAGCTTACCATCACTAGAAGTGTGTGAGAGTGTGTGAAAGCGTCTTTGGGTGTCTAGAAAAACGCTATATAAGTTCAATGCATTGTTGTTATTATTATTATTTTTATTAAAGGTTCCTGAGCCTTTAAATGGTCTCTCAGTCTAGTTGAATTACAGAAATGAATGTAAATTTTGTACAGTATTTTAATTTTTCCAGCTTCACATAATTGTGTGTTATTAGCAGCATTTCTGTTGCTGCTAATCTAGTAACGGTTAAATAAATAAATAAATAAAATCCTTTAAAATGACACTAGAAGAGGCACAAGCCTGATGGAGGACTTACATTTACTAACTTGGGTCAGACCCAACCACAGAAGAGCTGAAGCTGGGTGGTAAACACACACAGGTAGTTCTAATAACACCTGAGCTCCATGACGTCTGAGACTGATGCATCAGTGTTACAGCGGGACTAAAGACATGATCAGAAATAGGTTACAGCTGGATGATCTAGGAAGGTAGAAGATCAGGACGTCTGAGCGGTGAACAGGTGAGCGGACCTTCGGGACGTCCCGCTGTCACGCCAAGAAGGACACGGCTGCAGATCCACACCTGCAGCCGTAGACATTCATCACGTCTTCCTCGTTCTTCACGGCCGTGATGCTCTTGTATGAAAACATCTACCTCTTTAGCTCCTGATCAGCTGATGACAGCTTCAACACACCGCGCTGCTTAATGCACGCATTTCCTTATCAGTACAGAAACGATCGTTTTGTTAAAAGAAGACGTAATTAATTAGTTTGCTCGTTACAGAAAGAAATATTTTTTTTTAATTAACGCGGTTATTTTAAACGGCGTTATTCCCATCACTGCTCTGTTGTGTCTACAGCAGGCAGTGACTGAGACCGTGAGGGTCTCCGCCCACCCGGCCAATCATCATCGTGTTTGTAAGTGCGTTACCGACACCTCTCTCTCCCTGGCTGCAGCTGAAGTGTGGCGGTCAGAAAGCCTCACACTGTTGCTCAACGTTCGACAAGCACATAGTAACTGTTTTTTGTCGTTTAGTTTTTAAGTATTTTAAATGGATTCAGAGTCGTTGATGTCAGCATTGCAAAGAGCAGGTGATCCCCGCTGCTGCCCTACGGGGCCTAGCCGTCAGATCGAACTTGTTTCCGTTACTTTTACTGTTGGACAGTAAACGCGTTCGTGTCGGATGAGTCCAGGATGCACACGCGTGTTGTTGTTCATCTGTGGTTAACTGGAACATGAGAAACCGACAACTCTGAGCCTTAGCCTCGAAGCTAAATGTGACCCCAGCTCCTTTACTCGTGTGTGGGAGTGACTCTTCTGTTACAGCAGTACCAGTCACCCACACGTCTCCGTGGACGTGGACACAGAGCCATGCTATGTAGCGGAGCACAATGGGAGCGGGCTCAACACTAAATCACTGGTTTCTCCTTGTTTTCACACTCCAGTGGAGTCCGTCCAGCATCGTTTAGAGCTTTCTCAGCTTTCACACACCAGACTGGGGGGCAAACATTTTGGCTGCAGACATTCTGCCCCATGTATCAGTAAATGTTGCCAACGCCTGGGCTGCAAGACCGCGTGTGGTGAGCTTCGTGGATGCCGGTTGCGGTCTGTGCCGCTTTGATGCTTGAAGTGATTTTAAATCTTTAAACCGCTGGCATGTCGTGTCCAAAAATGGTCACCAGCACAGTAAGGGATTATGGGTAATACCCTTTATCAATGTTTGCACCCCGCTGCAGATCAAAGTTGTAAAAGGGGCGGGGCCTAGGTCCACACTGGAGAGTCAGGGCACCCTACAACAGGGGTAGATTACTCCCTTCACCGTGGGCTGGTTTCCAACATGTTTTAATTGTTTCCCTGGTTTACCACACCTGGTTTGAATCAGCAGGTAATTAATGGACTTCTGCAGAGCTCCGTGAGCTGCTGAACAGGGGGATCAGGGAAACGACTACAACACGCTAGATACCGGCCCTCGGGGGAGAGAGTTGTCTACCCCTGCCCTACACGCTCACACCACTGGACGAGAACGCGTAACTGAGGGTGGCGGTGCGAGTGCTGGAACTGGGCCGTAGCGCTGCTGAACAGATGACTCCGTCATCACATCAGGTGTGCTGGAGCAGGGAAACCACTAAAACATGGTGGATAGAGCCCTCATGGACCAGGGTTGGACACCACTGGTGTGAAGGTTGTAGTACAGCGCGCACACACACACACACACTTTCTACCATACCTGCTGCTACTCTGGTGCTGACACGGCAACCCAACAGGGTCCCCATGTGATTGGTCCCAGTATATGTTTTAGGCCCCGCCCACTCCCCAAAAACAAACGGGACATTTTCCTAACAGAATCACATCAGGTGACTTTTTTCAGGTGACCCTTGACTTTGCAGCTGTGGGTTCAGGTATTTACGTCTCTGAGATGTTTGGATACAGCTGATGCTCCACCTGTGGGACCCTTTCCTCCACGCTCTGCTCTCGTTTCATCAAACTACACCGTCCCAGTTGCAGCCGTCGGCATGATTCTGTTTATAAAAGGAATCCGCTGGATTTGTTTTTCTAAACTTTCCAGTTTCTGAACCATCTAAAGAGAGGGATGTCAAACATCTACGTCACATCGCTCTACGTCAGCCGTGTTGGCTTTGCATATAGCTGTAGTCTCTGGGTTTTAGGGAAATTTTCACAAAACAGGAAGGGCTTGACGTTCTCTCTGCTTCCTGGTGTGTTCGTTAGGTCATCCGTGTGAACTTTAGACTTTAGAGAATCTGTTTTAGTTCAGAGTTTCATTCAGCTGAGAGGCTTTTTCCTGGCTGACCGCTGTTGATGTCTCACCTCTCATCTGCTGCTCGGCCCCGACACTCGCAGTGAAGCTGAGTCCAGATGCTGTTTTTACTTTAAAGAGCAAGTCACCCCCAAATCAACTTCATTTTCCTGATGAACTACATAAATGCGTGTCTAATCGTGCTGCAGACACGTGTAGTCAATAGTTTTGCACTTTAGTGCATTTTAGTTAAAATTTAAATGTTCTGCCTAAAACTGTCAGTGTTGTGCCGTTGTCAGGTAAAAACCCTGCACTGCATTTGAATTTAAATCTGCCATCGCTATTGGCTAAGAGGTACTCTAGAACGTTAGCTGGTACCATATGATGTCACAATGTTGTGGTGGGCCTGTGTGTGTGTGTGTTCGCGGCTCCGCCCTCTCGGTCTGCTAGGCAACAGCATTTGTTGCATTTTTCAAACAGGAAGTGGGACCAGAATAATACTCTGGTAGGGTAGGGGGTGACTTGCTCTTTAAAATTTTGAATCTCACATGTTCTTGTTTGCGTTTGCAGGTGGTTCTTCGGGAAGATTCCTCGTGCCAAAGCAGAGGAGATGCTAAACAAACAGAGGCACGACGGGGCGTTCCTCATCCGAGAGAGCGAGAGCGCACCGGGGGACTTCTCCCTCTCTGTGAAGTGAGTGGAGCACCAGACCAGATGAAGTTTATCATCAGTTCAGCTTCCTTAGAGCGGATCTCCAGAGAGGGCTGCTGACTCTCGTTTCCTCATTCTGGTGCAACGTGTCTTGTCACACGTTTTTATAGATTTACAGACTGGTTTCGCTACTTTTACACCACAGATTATTTCCTGTTGCTTTTGGATTATTGGAGAACTTCACATGCAGGATTCAGTCCGGCCCGTTTCTCTGTAGTTACAAACCAAAAGCGCTGACTCGTCTGAGCTGCGAGGCGCGACTCGGCTCACACACCCTGCTGTGATCTCCCTCAGGTTCGGAAACGACGTGCAGCACTTTAAGGTTCTTCGCGACGGAGCTGGGAAGTACTTTCTCTGGGTGGTGAAGTTCAACTCCCTCAACGAGCTGGTGGACTACCACCGCACCACCTCAGTCTCCCGCAACCAGCAGATCTTTCTCCGAGACATCGAGCAGGTCCCCCAGGTAAGACCCTACTCGCCCCGGGTGAGAAGGTCCCTCAGGTCCGCTTTGACACAAACGTTCATGACCTTGAATCAGGAATAACGGGGGAGTGGGGAGAAGTAGGCCTTAGATTTAGGATTTGGGTGGTTCTTTCTGCTGTTTGGTGTCTACACACCACCTCTCAGATGTTTGGGACGTTTTTGTGGAAGCTGATTTAATCTGAGCGATAACGGGACGCGCACTGAGAAGTGAACAGGCTCTTATCAGGAGCTGTCACACGCTGTAGCCGATCCTTTCTGCTGGAACAACAAACGGTTGAGATGATGAACTCTTCAGTGTTCCAGCAGATGCGTCACTGGAGTCATCGTGAGATGCTCCAGGAAGCATCAGGATGAAATGTAATCAGATTACCATCTAAAACTCCAGCTGGGATGTCTTTACTGTAACTGCAGCAGTTTTCATTTCATTTTATTTTTTAAAGCCAACTTTTATAAAATACTGTTTTTTCTATTAAAATGTTACTTTAGCCTGAAAACATCTGCATGTCCTGCAACATCTGGACCTCGGGTAAACCGGCAGCATCGCCACAACGTTCAGTAATAACACAAAAAGATCGTTGGTGTCGAGCAGCTGTGGCGATCCCGTCTCCTGAGACCAGCGGCGATGCGTCGGTGCTCGTCTGGCGTGATGGTTCCTTCTTCAGGGTGGCGCTCGCCAGAGTAGAAGCCACAGACTGGCGACGCTGGGCTGGCTGACAGCTGATGGGTGAACTGATGCAACACATGTAAATAACGTTTGATCGCCTCCAATGAAAGGATTATAAAAAATATCTGGGTTAGGCTAAAGATGTCATTCTCACCGCCTTCGTGTGTGTGTGTGTGTGTGTGTGTGTGTGTGTGTGTGTGTGTGTGTGTGTGTGTGTGTGTGTGTGTGTGTGTGTGTGTGTGTGTGTGTGTGTGTGTGTGTGTGTGTGTCTGAAAGGTAGTTAGGAGACGTGTGTGTGTGTTCGTCTTTTTATTCTCCGCATCTGAAATATTTTGCAAGGTTAGAAGATTTTATTCATAAAAATGTAATTTTTATTTATGCTTTTTTTTTATTTTAGACGCAATTAAAGGAACATTTCGGCCATTTGTGTGGAAAAGTATAAATGATCTCATTCATTGTAGATTGCTTCCTGAACAGCCTCTGTTCAAAGAAATGGAGTTTATGTCCTTCAGCACTGATGAGTTCATAGCTAGACTAGGAGGAGCGAGGTCAGCTTGGATCTTTACCGTCTTAAAGTAAAAATCTCTTAGCAGCTTGTTTACATGTTGTTTCATAACCGTTTACTCAGCTGAAGACTTCCTGTGTTGTCTTCTGGCAGAAATATTAACTCATTCAATGCCTAAAGTCGTCATTGGCATGTTTTTACTGTGTGGGCGTTGGACGAGCCCCCGCACCGTGAGAACAAACATCTCCGCTCTGAAGCCGATCTTCATCCACGTACGTCACACGTCACGGGATCAGGAAGCAGAATATCCATGTGTTAGGAGATCGTTTTGGGCAGCTGCTGTAAAAAAAGTGAGGCGCGAACCGGAAAAGCTTCTGCCGATCACAATTCAACAACGGATTATAAAAGAACGGATAACGCTCGAAACGTGCGGATTCTTCCTGATGTAAGAGTTAGCTGTTGGCATTAGCAACTCCACCACACAGCAGAACTCCTGCTGGCTTTTGTTATTTGTGGAGATAAAACATCAACGTTGCAGAGCAACCAGAGTCAGCGTAGTGTCGTGTTGCTGTTAGCCAGTCAGAAGAAAGATGTCCGAATATCAGGAAGTAAGGCTCCAAATCCTGCCGTCTTCAGCTCAACTCTGCACCGACTCACTTCTAGTTCCTGGAACAGAAGCACAAGTCTTTTGGACGTTCTTACTGTGTTTAGTTTCTAATTCCATTTTTGGTTCTTTTTTAAACTCAGGAAAGGTTTCTCTTTACCTTGCTGACATTTCGTTTGCGGCTGCAAAACTTCCTCAGAGCTGATGGTGGCGTCACTTCCTACTCCGTTTATCCGCGGGCAGCAGAGGACGTTGTCGCCCTCTGCTGCCCGCTCTCCTCTCTCCGATGATGCAGTCCCATGCACGATCCAATTTGTAAACCCCATCGTCCCTGTTCATGGTCCCACATCCACGTCTCCTTATCTCTATAGCGTCCTTTGTCTATCTTTTGTATTTCTGTTGTTCGGTGTTTATGATCCTTGTGTTGTCCCAGTCCATTATATGGTTTTCTCTTATGCAGTGGTCTGTTACGGTTGACTTCTTTATTGAGCTTTCTGCTTCTTGTTTTGCTGCTCTTGTGTGTTTTTGGCTTGTTTCTTTCTCGCACTCCTTTCTTTCTATGTTCTATTGTTCGTGTGTTGAGTTGGCGTCCGGTTTCTCATATGTATGTTTTATTGCAGAGTTTGCAGGGGATTTCGTAAACCACTCCACATTTAAGTCCAGCTGGTATTTTGTCTTTTGGGTGTACTAGTCTGTTTCTAACCGTTGTGTATGGTTTTGTTGGTGTGTTTATGTTGTGTTTTTTCATTGTTGCTCTTATTTTTTCTGTTGTGCCTTTGATGTATGGTAGGGTTATCACTGGTTTTTTTCTTGTCTTTCTGGGTTTCTGGTTCTTTGCTTTGGTTGTTCTTTTCTTTCTGTTGTTGTTTGTTGTTTTCCTTTGTTTATTGCCCATGTCGGGTATCCGCAGGTCTTTAAAGCGTGTTGTATTACTGACATTTTGTGTATGGTGGGATGTCAGTAATCAGAACACTATATCACCGAGCAAACATGGTAACAGAAGAAAGAGACTGTAAACAAGAGAACAAACACATACAACAAGCTATAGAGATAAGGAGACGTGGATGTGGGACCATGAACAGGGACGATGGGGTTTACACATTGGATCGTGCATGGGACTGCATCATCGGAGAGGGGAGAGCGGGCAGCAGAGGGTGACAACGTCCTCTGCTGCCCGCGGATAAACGGAGTAGGAAGCGACGCCACCATCAGCGTCAGCTCTGAGGATGTTTTGCAGTCGGTAAACGAAACGTTAACAAGGTAAAGAGAAACCTTTCCTGTGTTTTAAAAAGAACCAAAAATGGAATTAGAAGCACAAGCCATCGACTCACAAGGCCTTCATTCCTACTAGACGCAGCAGATTCTCTGGAGGTTTCTTCCTGTTAAAAGGGAGTTTTCCTCTCCACTGTCGCTATATGCTTGCTTAGTATGAGGATTGCTGTAAAGACTCTGACACTAGTCAGTGACTTGATGCAATTTGCTGGGTTCCTTATATAGGAAACATTATTTCTGATTGGCTTAATGAACTGACCTGAATTGGAATGTTTATTATGTGAAGTGCCTTGAGACGACTCTCGTTTGGCGCTATATAAATAAAATTGAATTGAATTGAATTGAGATGTGTTAAACTAAGTGAACTTGGTCTTTATCAAACCCCTGCCAGGCTTGGATGCATCAGAAGTTTATTCTAATGCTTGTGAACCACCTTGTATTGCAGTAAGTCTTGTTGATGTTTGTAAACATCGTTCATAAAAACCACCGTTACGTTTAGAAGATCGCAGCTTTGGTGTTTGCTGTCCTCAGACCAGCTGTTGGTTCAGCAGACCTGAGGGACGTGAGCAGAAACACGCCTCAGGATGTCCTCCTAATGCTAGGAACTAACCTAACCTCTTCTTTTCTGTCTTCTGATTGGCCAGCACCCCACATACGTGCAAGCGCTCTTCGACTTCGACCCCCAGGAGGAAGGCGAACTGGGTTTCAGACGCGGAGACTTCATTCAAGTCCTGGACAACTCCGACCCAAACTGGTGGAAAGGTGGCTGCCACGGCCAGACGGGCATGTTTCCCCGCAACTACGTCACTCCCGTGAACCGGAACATGTAGACAGTCCGACCGTGTAAACAACAACAACAACAGCAGCCCCAGCAACCATCACCACCGTTGTCACCATTCTTGATCTCATCGTCCCCGCCATCCACCCCTCCACCTGTCTTCGGCCGTCCCACGACGACAGGAAGAACCGACTGACTGAGAGAAAGCAGGCGTAGCGCTGTAGGCGTGGCTGTGTGGGTGGCAGCAGAGCAAATTGGACTTTTCTACTCGTGCCGAGCGCGTTCGCTTTCCCGCCGAACGCCTTGGCGAGGACCGAACCGTCTGAGGGAGGCCAGAGAAACTAAAGTTCCCCAAACGGTTCTGCGGCGCCCACCGCTGCTTCTCTCCTCCACTTCGTAACATTCTGCCTTTGTGTTGTTCTTCCTTTCTTCGCCGCATGTTCAGTTATTCGTTTTAAGGAAATGCCGACCGATAAACCCCAACTTTGTTTTAAAGAAAGGTTTAAATAAAAGTGTTTAAAAAAACTGAAATGGTTTTAAAATAACAATAAAAAAAGTGATGTCATCTGTAAAACTGCAAGTTCCCATGTTCGAGACCTTCGTGAGCATCAGCCGCCGGCTTTGTAAAAGAATCAAGTATAGAGAGAAATCGTTTTTTAAGAATATATATAATATGTGTTTGTCTGTTTTACCGCTCTCTCATCAGATCGTTTCCTTTTGTAAATTATCTCGTTAGACCTGGTGAGACCTGTTGGCGCTAGAATGTGATCGCTTGTCGGTCGACTTTGTGTCTCGTTTTTTTAATCTGCGGTCCCAGATTATGCGACGCTTGTGCTGAGTTCCATTTTTAAGGAGGTTGCTTGTGTGCATCACGCGAGTTCAGGAGTCATGGGGGACTTGGTCCCGTCAGGAAGCTAACCAGCAGCTAGAGCCAGGGATGCTGCAGGATCTGTAAGGAAAAGCCCGAATTCAAGAGGCTACTTGTGGAAAGCCAACATATTTATTGCAGCCATTTTGTTTTTTACGTTTCTTTTTCCTGGCGGTGAATGTAGCCGACTGAATCTACAGATAAACATGAGGGAAGCGCGTCAGAGAGCTGAACCACAAAACCACACAAGGGATTAAAAAGAGACATGCTGAAAGCGTAAATGTGTCCATTTTCATTCACTCACTCATTGAGCGCAGTGTGTGCAGGTCGTTTGTATTCAGACAGTGATGCATGCGTTCACTCTTCCCTACCTGCACATGGCAAAGGGGGCGGAGTTTGGATAATCACGCGGTGTAATCACCAGTGCAGATCTGCAGCTGGCGCTCACACTTCAGAAACCTGAGAGATTGTCTTTTTTTTATTTTGAAGGTGAGATCAGCGGAGATGATCGAGGAGAAACCGTGTGTTCCCCGTGGCGTGTGCTTGTGCACTTTTTTTTTCTTTTTCCTTTTTTGGTCGTGTCCATTTTGTTTCCTGTGATTCTTAGTTTCTTTTTCTTGTTCTCTCTGGATAGTGCCTTTTTCTCTGGTGTTTCAGTGTCCCATCTGCTCCCCACCTCACTCCCCCTCCACCTTGTCAGGGTTGGACGGTTCTTTGTTAAGTGTGAATAAACTAAGATGATGTCCCATGTGACCAAATGCCACCGGCCCACCTTCTCATCGACCCTCACCAACGTAGAACTCTTTATTTGTGTCTCGCCTTGTCTTACCTAATGACACTGTTTTGTTTTTGCTCCTTTATTTGCATTTTTTTGTTTTCAATTAATAAAATGCAATTATTAAAATGTGTCTGTGGTCCGTTTATAAACACTTCATCAATAAATTATTAATAGTATCAGAAGTTATAGTTTTTAAAGAGAAACTTGTTTTGGTTACTGCTTGGGGTTGTCTGTTATGCGTAATGACCATTTGTGTGTTGGCTGTGGCGGCCATCTTGAATCAGGCTGTCATCAAAAGTTGCTCTATGGTGGTTCAAGTGGTATTTTATAGGCATGCACTACAACCTCCTCCCCGCCTTTCCGATTTGGTGATTTATGCCTTCTCCAGGTCAGGGGTGAAGAGAGAGCTCAGCCGGAAGGCAAAGTTCTTGATTCACTGGTCGATCTACGTTCCAACCCTCACCTAAGGTCACGAGCTTTGGGTAGTGACCAAAGGATGAGATCTCTGCAGGGTGGCTGGGCTCTCTCAGGGAGAGGGTGAGAAGCACGGTCATCTGGGAGGGGCTCAGAGTAGACCCGCTGCTCCTACATGTCGAGAGGATTCTGTTGAGGTGGCTCAGGCATCTGGTCAGGACGCCTCCCTGGTGAGATTTTCCGAGCACATCCAACCGGGAGAAGAGCTGAAAGAAGACCCAGAACACGCTGGAGGAGACTATGTCAGGAAACGCCTTAGGATTCCCCCAGAGGAGCTGACCCAAGTGGCTGGAGAGAGGGAAGTCTGGGCCTCTGCTTATTCTGACCCGACCCCGGATAAGCGGTGGAAGGTGGGTGGATAGGTGCTGAGCTAGTATGTCTACTGGACCAGCAAAGGTAATGCTACAGAGCTGTCACTGAAAGTTTACCTAAAGAAAAAGTTTGCTGAGAAACCATTTTATACTTATTATTTACTTATTATATTACTGATTATACTTATTTTAGAAACATTATCAGTTTCACGTGTAAATATGTCATCTACCCCTATTTTCTGCATTAGCCGCTAACAGAAAATAGAAGGTGAAACATTCCAGTTAGGAAAATCACACAGATCTGCGTCACACTGAAAAACTGCATCCATGGTCTCACCCACCGTAGCTCACGATGGGGAAGGTTGTTGATTTGGCATCGAGGAGAGAGCACAGCTTGTCTCGGCTGGCAGAAGCTAACCATTAGCAGTGACTCCACAAACATCAAGGGGTGTTTCTCGATGTCAAGGCGCCTGGCCTGGTGAGGCGATGTCTTGCGAGGCCAGGCGCCTTGCTTACAAGGACACTGTCCTTCCTTGGTCAAAGAAAACGGTTAAATGGAACAGACTTGCATCACGTGTCCACGGCGGTCACGTAACGTCATGTGACATGGGAGATAACGTTATATTTTATACGTATTAGTTTCAATGTAAATATATAACAAGACTTTTACTTTTTAAATTGTGTATATGTTTATTAAATTAAATATATAAGTGAGTTACTACCCGCTAGCCACCGAAGCTGCAACTACTAAGCAACTAACCAACCATAGATAACTTCTTTGGATCTTAAAAAAAAAGACATTTTAAATTAGTTGACTTACTTTTAAACTTGAAAATTGTCCCCGAAGTAGCTGCCGGCTTCTGATCTGCCGTCCTTTTGAAAATACCGCGGTGTATTCTGGGTAATTTTCTACCAAGGCTAGGCTACAAGATACCTCCCGTGTATCCTTGCTCAGCTAGCTAAACGGCTAACAAACGGAGAACACATGCCTCAATAGAACATGAACATTGGAACACGTCTTGGTGGCTCCCGATGACGTATCTGCTAGGCAACCGGGGCGGGCCAAGACATCAAGACAGTGATAGAGTTGTGTTGCTGTTAGCCAATCAAAGGTGAGATGTTCAAATATCAGGAAGTGAGACTCCAAATCCTTCCGTGCTCTGCTCCCCTCTCCTCTGGCTCCTGAAACAGGAGCGCCAGAGTTTTGTTCCCACAGAGATCAACTCACAAGGCCTTTGTTTACAGACCACAGCGGACGTAACAACAAGCGAACTTGGTCTTTAAACCTTCGCGGTGTGTTTATAGATGTTGAAGAATGGTTTGACTGCACCTCAACTGCCAGCGGCGTCCCTAAGTGCAGGATGCTGCTGCACTTGCAAATGTGAATCTGACTTGTGGTTAAGGAAGCTATCAGGCTAAATATCTTGCAACCCAAGGAGAAACAAGCCTGTTTTCTCTTAGTTTTGATGTGCAGAGGAAAAACACGAGTCAGCAGACAAGATGAGGAAGCTGCTGATTTTGTTTCTTGTGAAGATTGTGGTGCTCTGCATGCTGCAGGACGCTCAGAGTGACATTAACAACGGTCTCACGCTGTCGCCTGCTCCACTTTTTGACTTTTCGCTCTCGGGGATAGCTCTTTTGAGCCCCGCCTGACGCGTTACATCAGTGTCCTCTTTCTAGTCCTCTCGTCCGGAATCATTCAATGTGCCCTGGGTCTGAAAAGTATCATCCTGCGCCAGTGCATCTATTCATCTCTGACCTTTACAAATGATCCAACACGCTGAGACGTTCACAACGTGGTCTTGGAGTTTTTTTATTTAGTCCTTCATATATTAAATAATAGAAAACATCAAATGCAGCTCACAGGGCTTCTGTACATAAGACCCAAGCACAAACTCTGCCCTCAGGGTTTTGGCCTGGCGAAGCGGCCATATGGTGCTGCTATGAAGTCAACAGCAATAATGTCAGCTTTAAAAGCACCCCCCCCCCCCCCCCTTCAGTAAGAACGTTTTAAGATGATTTGAGGATTTGCAAGTGCAGATTTGAGAAGATTATTATCAGTGTGTGAAGTACGGTGCTTTGACTGATTCAGTTTCACGTGTTTCCAGTACGGTTTAGAAACTAGTGTGCCATGAAATGTTGGGTTTATAGGATGATGGTACTCTCTAAAAACCACTGGGTTGAAAACAACCCAATTTTAACCTGGATTATCCAATCAACCCAAAAAGCTAACCGTTGCCTTTTTTCAAGCTAGCTAGTGGCCTGTTGTCTGTATGAAGGCCTTTCATGAGTCTATTAACTCATTCAGTTCAATTTTTTATTCAATATTTTATTTAATTCACTGCCATTGACGACTAAAGTCGTCATTTTAGATCCAACCGTTCACTGCCAATGATGACTAAAGTCAGTCATTTGCATTTTTTTCTGTTTGAGCATCGGAACGAGCCCCGCGCTGAGAGAACAAACATCTCAGCCCTGAAGTCGATCTTCATCCGCATACGTCACACGTCACATGATCAGGAAGCAGAACATCCATGTGAATTCATAGTCAATTCAATTTTAATTTTGTGTTTTTATATTCAGGTTTTATTTGTATGTTGTTTTTATTTCTTTTGCTCCTTTTTACATTTTCCATCTACCTGACCATTTTAACTTGTGTTGTTTTGCTTGTTTTTTGTGCAGCGCTTAGTATGGTTGTAATGCCATGTTGAAAGCGCTATATAAATAAAGTGGTATGGTATGGTATGGTATGTGTTAGGAGATCGTTTTGGGCCGCTGCTGTAAAAAAAGTGAGGCGCGAACCGGAAAAGCGTCGACCGATCACAATTCAACAACGGATTATGAAAGAACGGATAACGCTCGAAACACACAGATTCTTCCTGATGAAAGAGGTGAGTCTCCGCTTTGTTTTGGTTGTTTTGGCATCGACATCATCCTAGCGCGCAACATTCTGTGACTCTTAAAAAAACAGTATAAACGGTGAGAAACGCTGGCAGCGAAGAGCTTTACCGATCAGGAAACGGCTTGCAGTGAGGGCGGGCAATCCTGGTCCTCGAGGGCCACTATCCCACATGTTTTACTGTTTTCCCTCTTTCAACACACCTGATTTCAAGCAGCAGGAGATTAGCTGGCTTCTGCAGAGCTTGATGAGCTGCTGAATCAACTGTGTTAGAACTGGGAAATAACAAAAAGATGGAGGATACCGGCCCTCGAGGACTGGAGTTGCCCACCCTGGATAAAATGATTTGTTACTAAGAACAAAAATAACTTTTAAACTGTTAAATCACTTTTCACTAACATTTTATTTCATAGTAAATGAGAAGTCCAGTACATTTGATCAGGTCACCGTCCTTTTGGAAATGGCCATTTGATGATGAAGCATTTTGTGAGCGTTGTCTTCAACCCACCAGTTTGGGATATTTCAACCCAACCTATGACCCAACAGAACTGGTCAAGCCTTGGGCCTCGGGCACACCGAAGGCGGACGCGCCGCTCAGCGTTGTGCCCGAGATTTTGAGAAGTCAAGTGGTCACACAGGACTGGAATTCTTTAAAAATGGGTAAGTACGCTAGTTATTTTAATATCTTAAGATAAATAGTACTTTAAAGTTATCAAAACTGCGGTCGAGTTTGTGCTGTAAAGTCGTTCCGCGTCGTAATGTCTGTTGTAAAGTACTCCACAATGTCATAAGCAGCCACAGCACCGCCGTACCGTGGCGTTTGAGATAGAACTGGTGCCTATCTTCAGCGCTTAAACGCAGCCCTTCTGGGACTCGGAGCGGCGCTCCCCGCGTGTCCACTCTCATTAACTGTTATGGATTCAATTTAAAATAACTGCATGGAGCGGGCTCAGCATGGCGCGGTGCGTCTGCCTCCGGTGTGCCCCGGGCTTTAGACTTAAAGAGCAAGTCACCCCCAAATCAACTTAATTTTCCTGATAAACTATATAAATGCATGTCTAATCGTGCTGCAGACACGTGTAGTCAATAGTTTTGCACTTTAGTGCATTTTAGTTATAATTTTAATGTTCTGCCTAAAACTGTCAGTGTTGTGCCGTTGTCAGGTAAAAACTCTGCACTGCATTTGAATTTATATCTGCCATCGCTATTGGCTAAGAGGTACCCTAGAATGTTAGCTGGTACCATATGATGTCACAATGTCGTTGTGAGCCCGTATGTGTGTGTATTTGTTGGTGGCTCCGCCCTCTCGGTCTGCTAGGCAACAGCATTTGTTGCATTTTTCAAACAGGAAGTGGGAGTGGAGTAAGAATCTGGTAGGGGGTGACTTGCTCTTTAATGTCAGACGATCACGAACGCATGCAAAAAAGCAGGTATCTCTGTGAAGCGGTCTGACACGCTATAAGGTTATCAGATTGCTTGTTTCAGCTGCATGAGTGCATGCTTTAATCTGGCACGTGAAGGTTGAGACTTTCCACCCCACCTGTACTGCAGGTAAATGAGCTCCGGCACATGATAACCTCCACGGCTTTGGTTCAGAGTTGCACCAGGAAGTTGTGAGCTGTCCCAAACAAAAGTCATTCCCGGAATGATCTGTCAAACTGCACCCAAACATTGTTGAGTGGTGGTTTATCTTTTTAAACAAGGCCTTATGCAAATAGCATATCCGTTACACACACACACACACTGGTTCCTTGGTGAGCCTGCCAGTGGGAATGTGGCTGCTGCCACATTTCACCATGTAGCGTGGTCTGCATACTAGAATCAACACTGTTTGCTATCAGTTGTTTAGGCTTTACAGGAACCGGGAGTCGCTGCCTTTGGGACGTTAACATTTTTCATATTTTTACATTCATAAATACGTTCAGATATTAGCTGTTAAGTAAGTATTTGAATGTATTTATGTGACCGTGTTCTGGTCTGCATGATACTGCATACTGGAGACTTGAGCCACGTTAAATCATTAGTAGTGAAATGCTGCCAACTGCTGGCTGAAAATGCTTTCTAACAAAGATGCTTGTCTGCATGTAGGTTGCACTTTCGAAAACTGAGTGGGAACTAGATTTTTATATTCTCTGGGAACATGGGTGTCCAACGTGTGGCTCATGGGCCATTTGTGAGTGATTCTGTGCGGTTGTCGACTGCAATTTTAGATTTTCAGCCTCAGACACAGACCGTCGAGACAGATGGACACTTTTTAAAAATCAGTTCCCGTGAGATTTTTACTAATGTTAATCCTACATGAAAATGCTGCTACAATTAAGTAATTTGAAATGTAAAAAACAATTTTTACAATACATTTTTACTGCCATTGCATTATTTTAGATACAGCAGAGGGCGCCATTTCATTATTTATTGACTAAATGTGACTGAAAATAGCACGTGCCTTTGCGTTCTATGAGCAGAGTGTTTACATATAAACACACTGTCTCTGGAGTGTTCGCTGTATAAGGAAGGTCATGGCTTTCTGATATCTATACAGAAGTTATTGTAAATCAATGTTCTTGAAAAACATGAAAAGCTTCGTTATCGGCAGGATTCGAACCTGCGCGGGGAGACCCCAATGGATTTCTAGTCCATCGCCTTAACCGCTCGGCCACGACAACCTTAGTGCGCATGTCTGACAACAGTAGTTCATCTCGTAGAGCGACTTGCTTCATGATCGGAGGGTCATGGGTTCGATTCCAGCTCCCGCCAGGGGTATCCTGCTGTTGTGTTCTTGGGCAAGACACTTCACCCAACTTGCCTGTGTTAGTGGTGGTCAGAGGGGCCGACGGCGCCAAATGGCAGCCTCGCCTCTGTCAGACCTCCCCAGGGCGGCTGTGGCTACAAGTAGCTTACCATCACTAGCAGTGTGTGAATGTGAGAGTGTGTGAAAGCGTCTTTGGGTGTCTAGAAAAGAGCAATATAAGTTCAATGCATTATTATTATTATCACTATTCCACATCCAATCAGGTTTTTGCTACAGAATTTTGTAATGTGTGTAAATGACTGAAGGAACTGACCCGCCAACCTAATCTGACAAACAAGGATTTAGGTATGTCCAATAATCCAGGTGAGCATCTGGTCTAAATTAATCAAACGGTAGTGTTTGTTCTCAAATGCATTGAAGTAAGACGCTTCCATGAGCAAAACACTTGAGGAAAGTTGGGAAGATTTTTGACATTTTCCTGTCAATAACTTCTGATCAGACTGTCATTTGGAAACAATTCTATTTAGTTTAATAGAATATAGAGAATATAGAGCCAAATCGCGACTAGCTTCGTCTCAAGGCGATTCACAAAGTAACACATTCCCAAAGTTTCATTTCATTTCATTTATTTATTAATAAAGCACCTTAATGCCACCAGCCAAGGCTGCCCAAAGTGCAGTACGTGATAAAACCTTAGATCATATACAATAAAATTAGAGAAAATAAGACCATACTAAAAAATTGATGTCATGAAACACAAAAGAAAATAAAATCTAAATGCACATAATGCCTAAAAACAATTAAAATTAATAAGAACATTCCAAGAATATTACCAGAAAAATAACAATAAAACCAAGAGTACAAAAAAGTATAAAATAACTAGATTTGTAATATTGCTTCAGTTTAGCTCTAAAACTCCAGACAGTAGAGACTGTTTCATATCTAGTGGGAGTTTGTCCCACAGTCTTTGAGCCAGTATCAGGGGCGTGTCCAGGGAGTGGCCTGGGGTAGCACATGCCACCCTTGGAATCTGATTGGCCACCCCAGGTGCCACCACACTAATTTACCTTTAAATAGGCTTTTCATTGTCCACAAAGGCTTGGGGGTAAAACAAAAAAAGCATAACCATTGGTGCCACCCATGCTCAAAGTTGTGCCTCACCTGGACCACCCCATTTTAAAAGATCTGGACACGCCACTGGCCAGTATTGCAAAGGCTCGCTCCCCTCGAGAGACCTGCAGTTAAACCCATCGACATAGAAATATAAACCTAGGCTCGACCAATAAACCCATCTCTGCAGAGCGGAGAGGTCAGCTCTGCGAGATAAGGTGGCGCTGTTCCGGCAAGCGCCTGGAAAACACAAATCGGGGTTTCATTTCGATGCTATGCTTCACATGCAACCACTGCAGAGCATTAAGGACTTTATAAGTTTCCTATATAAGGAATCCAGCAGATTGATGACATTAACAGTCGGAGTCTTTACAACAATCTCCATACTAAGCAAGCACGTAGCAACAGTGGAGAGGAAAACTCTAGAAGCTCCTGGCTAAATGTGAGCAGCCATCCGCCACGACTCACTGGGGTTTCCACAAAATAGTCATCAAGCTACAACCTCATTAAAAAAAACGATTTAAGCATCCTCTGATGCAGATGCGCAACTTTAGACCTTTATATCTCTCTACAGATTTATATCCACAGCAGAGGACGGCTTGTTTTGATAAAACTTACGTTGTAGCCGTATATTATGTCGATGGTTGTAGCTTGATGACTACCTTTCTAAAGAGGCGTTTGTGTTTCCAAATAAACATTCTGATCAGGAGTTTTTGATTTGGAAAATGCCAATCTATGTATTTCTTCCTGAATTTACTCGAGTTTATAAACAGTTTATTATTGTAAATTTTTTATTTGTTTATTTACTTTGGATTTTTAACCGACGTGCGGATAAAAACGTGGTAATATCGGGTTGATATTGTGTTCATTGTTGCCTTCGAGTTGGAAGCTCTGTGACCACGTGACCCATCCAGCGAGGGCCTGCTGTTTGTTCAGCCAGAGAAGAAAAATGGCGGCCCTGGGCGAACCAGAACGGGTCGCCGGGCTAACGTTTTGAGCTTTCGCACTCGAAAAGACACAGGGGACTTCGCGGGCTTTCTGCATCGTCTAGGTTCGCGGCTAGGTTCGGCTTCGTGGCGGTACCGTTTTCGCTCGCAACCGTGCGTGCCAAACACACGCAAACATCGGAATTGCAATATAATAGGCTTCGCCTAACATGAGAGGGAAAAGGGGCAGGCCGCCCAAACCGCTACAAAACGAGGAGCCATCCCCAGCTACGACCAGGGGCTTACGACCCAGGAGGAATCTAAAACCCAGGTTTAAGGACAGCGGGGACGAGGAAGCCGAAAGCCCCTCGAGGGAGACCACCAAGTCCACCCGAAAGAAGAAGGCAACGTCTACACGGGGCAGGGGACGAGGGAGAGGCGGCGGCAGCAGAGGAGGCAGAGGCGGTCGGGGAAAGCGGGCGGCTGTGCCCAAAACAGTGGTGTACGATGACCACGAGAGCGATGAAGACGAAGAGGATGCTGTGAGTCTAAGGTCGGAGGAGGATGAGTTTGTTGAGGAGGAACCTCAGTCCGAGGAGGACGAGGCCCTCAAAGAGGATTCCGATTGCCTGGAAGACGATGGGCTGGAGGAGGAAGAGGATGTTGCCAGCTACTGCACGGAGAGTAGCTTTCGGAGTCAGAGCACTCACGCTAGCACTCCAGGTAAATAAACACCCCATCACCGATCAGACACCTGTCGTAGTGAGTCAGAAACCCCAACTACCTCAACTCTCAGAGCTGTGCAGGAAGCTGTAAGGTTATTGTTCAAAATGGAGAATGTACACTTTATGAAAACAGGCCTCATTGAGTTCAAACGCTTCTGCAGGTGCGCCTCAGCCCAACCTGCAGGGCCCAGCTGGTTCCGATCACCCCGTGTAACCAACACGCTTCTTACAGACCGATCAAAATCCACCAGAAAGAAAACGGCTAATTCAAACGACTAGTGTTAGCGTGCTAATGCTAGCGAGCGAAATCCGCTCAGTGCAGCGTTACCCTGTCAAGTCAAGTCTGTCATTAAAAAATAACAGCATTTATTATAATTAACGCAATATATTAACCAAATATTGCATGAGTATTAAATAAAACCACACTTTAGCTTTTATTGGGAACCGTCGAGCTCAGCTAGCTGTTAGCTTCACTAGCAGCTGTCAGTTTTGCCCGTTTGTTAGCATTCGCTTTGTCAAAATGAGTTAATTAAGGAATTGTAAACTCGTAAATATTTACTGGTGACGTGCTGCAGGTGTGCACGCAGGTACATTTAGGATGTGTGACCAGCTTAGATCGTATGTTCGGACTTGACAGTCAGCGCTTGTCTGCTTGCCGGAGGTTGATGCAGCCTCATTAAGCTAATAATGACGTTAGCCATTAGCCATGTGTGGGACAAGTTCAGCTGGAGTTTGTAAAACTTCAGTTACCTTTGTGTCGCTGTTTAATCGGTGTTATGTTAACTTCTGACGCATTTTACACGTTAAATGCACTTGAATAAGTAAAAATAAATTACAGCTTTTCAGAGATTTTATTCACCATAGAGGTGAAACGGCTCTTTCTGTGTTGCTGTTATATAAAAATGTTCAAACAAGAATATTTTTACCCAGCTTTACAAGATTGATAACATAGTCATGAAAGACAAAACTATAAGCTGTGTTTAAAACTTAATTTTAAGTTTAAAAGCAGAAATCTTGCTTTAACGTTTTTCCTTTTTTTGTTTCACAGGAAAGAAAAAGTTGCGTGCTGTCCGCCCTCCTACTCCCAGTTTGGAAGACAAGGAGATTCCTCTTCTTGAGCTGCCAGAGACCTCCGAGGATCTTCTGGTGCCGAATGAGGAGCTGCTGAACGTTACTTCCGTCTACGAGGTGCTGAGGAACTTCTGCACTGTGCTGCGTCTGTCTCCGTTTCGTTTTGAGGACTTCTGCGCGGCCCTGATTGGCCAGGAGCAATGCACGTTAATAGCAGACATCCATATCGCCCTGTTGAAGGCGATCCTACGAGAGGAAGACTCTTCCAACACTACCTTTGGTCCTGCAGACCTCAAGGACAGCGTCAACTCCACTTTGTACTTTATTGATGGCATGACATGGCCTGAGGTTTTACGGTCTTACTGTGAAAGTGACAAAGAGTTCCATCATGTTCTGCCAGACCTGGAGATGGACGAGTATCCCTATGGTCCTCTTGAAAGTAAGATCAAGGTGCTGCAGTTCTTAGTGGATCAGTTCCTCACCACCAACATTGCCCGCGAGGAGCTGATGTCCGATGGCAGCATGCAGTACGATGACCACTGCCGCGTGTGTCACCGCCTTGGTGACCTGTTGTGTTGCGAGACTTGCTCAGCCGTCTATCACCTGGAGTGCGTGAAACCGCCGTTACAGGAAGTTCCAGAGGATGAGTGGCAGTGTGAGATCTGTGTGGCTCACAAGGTGCCAGGAGTCACAAACTGTGTGACCGAGGCTCAGAAGAACAGGCCCTACATCCGCCAAGAGCCCATCGGATACGATCGCCACCAGAGGAAATACTGGTTCCTCAGTCGAAGGATCATCATGTAAGTTGGCATTGAGGTTTAGTCCTCCTTCATGTCAGAGTAAATACGTTCATAGGTTGAAGATGTTTATGGACAGGATGTTTAGCAAGACCCCGCAGCTCACTCAAAGGGGCTGAAGAACCCTTGCAAACATTTCGAGACACTTTAAAGACTTCATAGTGAGCGCCGCAGTCACAGCCCAGATGATCTCATCAGAGACGCGTGTCACTGAGCAGTTAATGCAGACCTGTAGATGCACGACGGGTTGCTGCAGCAGTTGTCTTTCGCAGGCGTCCCATCTCCTCCCACCAGTAGCTTTTTGTCGAACACGTTTCGTTGCAAGTCTGCAGAGGACACGGCGTAAGATCTGAAACCTAATGCTGGCCGATAAAACCACTCCCAGTCTGCAGAAACCAGCGCTACTGGTTTTTCCATCAGAAATAAAAAGCGCACGTCCATAACCGCTGCTGGAGAAAGGATCGCGGTGCTCTGAACGAGCGTGCTTGGCTGCCGTAAAGCCCTGATTCTAACTTGTTGTGACAGTTTGTTGACATGCAGAAGTCATCAAGCTTCCACAAACTCAGCCTGTTTGTGGAGAGATGAGGTGTAAGGAGTTCTCATACAAGGTTCTGCATCAGAAGAACGGTATAAAGTCTGATGAAGGCCCTCATTTGTTTACGAGATTAGACTGAGCTGAGGAGACGTGTTATTAGAGTAGAACGTGGTGCTATCCCATAACGAGGAGGTGCTTTCAGGCTGACGATTAACCTGCTCCTGTTGTCTCCTCAGCGAGGAAGATGGCGAGCATGTGAAGAAAAAGATCTGGTACTACAGCACCAAGGCGCAGCTAGAGGAGCTGATGGAGAGCCTGGATAAGGAGCGCTGGGAGATGGACCTCCACGCCACTCTGGAGGAGATGAAGGAGGAGGTGCAGGCTCACATGGACATCACAGAGGACCTCACCAACAGAGCTCGTGGGAGCAATAAGGCCTACCTCGCCGCTGTTAACGGTACAGTTTTCATTTGTTGTTGCTCTGATGTGAGCAGCTTTCTGTGGAGGATCAGAATAGCGGTGCAGGAAACGTGAGCTCGGCGGTCCCTCAGGCCACAGCGTAGACCACATTCAGATGTTCTTCATGGTTCCTACCGACGCGTTCACTCACTTAAAGGAGAACATGTGCAATGCTCACTTTTTTTGCATCCTTTTGTGGATTGGGGACTCCCTCTTGAGCCCTGCTCTGTGAGTGCTTGGTGTCAGGAATCATTTTCTTTGAGCAGTTTGTAAAGTCCCTTATGATGTCACAATAGGGGGAATTGGCAAAGCTGGAGGAGCAGCAGCTCTACTCAGAGCCCCTCCTGGATGTCTGAGCTCCTAACCTCTCAGGAGCCAATCACGGAATGGGTGGGCGTGGCCATTAACATAGTGACAGAGCCCTCGCCCCTTCCTTCCACCGGATGTGAAAGTGTTATGAAACATACTACGCAGCAATTAGCCGCCGTTCTAGTGGACGGCTGTCCGGATTGGCAGCAAAGTTTAACGTTTTGGATGCTTCCCAGAAGCTTCCCGGGTCTATTTGTCACGTGTTACGTTCCCAAAACATTTCAAACTCCGCAGTTTAGATCGGGCCAGACAGGAAGTGAAACACGAAAACACTGTGAAACATTCCGAAACTTCACAATAAAAGTCACGTGCAGATAAACTTTCGTCGTTTCTTGTGAAATCCCGTAGCCGATATAAACAGAACAGAAAATTACAGATTTTTTTTTTATACCTGCAGCTGTCTTTTGCTTTGCTTGTCACTGTGTGGACTTGTGAAATCACGCGTGGTGTTGCAGTTCTCTCGTGAATTAGTAACTGTTTGCGGGACCGGTGACGTGGAACGCTTTTGCTCATTCGAAACTCTCCCGGTTAGAAGGGAGCTCGCAGGTAAAACGCCGCTGTTGCGTTACACGCTGCTTTCACATCCGGTGGAAGGAAGGGGTGAAACGGCTCATTCTGGAAGGCACTGAAAATGTCTGCAGGGCTGCTGAAATCTCTTTACGTGAGAGGGAATTGGTACAACAACATGTTGTTGTATGAACGTGATCAATCATACGTTGTTTAAAGAGGAATTATGTGTCTGATTTACCAACACCCCCCAGCTCCGCCCCCTCTGTGACCTCAGCCAGCTGTTTCCGTTTCTGTTTGCAGGCTGCCGGATCTGTCAGTTACTTTTGGTGTGTGTGTGTGTGTGTGTGTGTGTGTGTGTGTGTGTGTGTGCGTGCGTGTGTGTGCGTGTGCCACCAGAATGATTGATTCTGCTTCTCAAGGTGAACGCTAGGCGATAAAGCTGCAGGTTTCTAGTTCAGAGTGAGATTGCATCAAACAGCTGCCCTAAAGGAGGCTTCGTGTGGAAACCGTTTAAATGATGACCCCGTGTTCGTTCATCTTCAGATGTTCAGTAGTGCTGCTGTTACAGATGATTTGTGGTAGAAAAAAAACACTTTCCTGTTTCAGACGTTGTGATGGAGCGTTTGAAGGTCCGGCGAGCAGCGCAGGAAGCAACGAGGCGAGAGGAGGAGGTGAAGCAGGAAACAGCAGGAGGCTCCGTAAATCCAGCTGTGGGCAGCGCTGAAGGCTCTTCGCAGCCCGGCAGGACGGCTGAGGCGGCAACAGGGTCCAGCTCTCAAGGTGTAAAATAATTTGTGTGTGCAGCTCATCCGTTGAGTCTAACGAGGCTAAACCCTCCTAACTTTGATGCTTTCCTCATGTCTCGTCACAGCTGCAGCAGAGAGGTCCATATCAGATCCTCCTGCCTCTGCCACGGAGGCCTCGGCCAAGACTCAACCGCTTGAGTCAGACAGTGAAACACAAGCTACTCGTGCTGAGAACCGGGCCACCGGGGAGCCTTCTGCTCCGACGAAACAGGAAGGCCCAGGTAGTCCTGTCCTCTTCTTTCAGCTCAGTTTCTGGTTCCTGATGCTTGCTGTCCAGAAGCTGCACGAGACTTCTCCTTCTCATGGCACAACCAGAGTCTCGGATTGCCTCTGCAGCCGGGCTGCAGCTGGTTTTGGTTGCTTTTCTAGACCATTTTAGTCTCATGAAGTGAAGACGCCTCCGTTTTTGTCTCTAATTTAAAGCCACGACATCATATCAACAAACTCAAATCATTAATAAAAGTCTTCTTGTTGTTCTTCCATCTGTTCCAGGTGTAAACCAGAAATCCGGTGAAGTTGGAGGCGGTGAGGAGTCGTCACCGGCCCAGGAGGAGTCCCAGCCAGAGATCCGAGCTCCTGGTTCCGGGGTTGTGAAGAAGCTCGATCCGCCTGACTTGGCCGACGGGTCGTCCCAGTCTTCGTTTACCAGCCAAGACGGGACGGGTTAGGATTTCTGATTTACAAACGGAACACAGAAACAAACTTTTGCCGTAGTTTGACTGAAGTCAGACTTTTAAAGTGCACGTAAGGCGTTAATCCAGCAGAGTGGTTCTAATCCAGCTGAAGTACCCAGAGAATGTGGTTAGAAACCGAGTTCATCTGCATGTGAACCGCCCGGTCGGGCCGTGACCGGCCCGGGTGCTCCACCTAAAGTAACGAGACCGCAGAAGTAGCCTTCTCGTGATGTCGTCGCCACAAAGTAGAGCCTGTAACTAGGACTGTAGCTATCGGATATTGTTGTAATAGAGTACTCTAATAAATGACCCTTTTGAGTTTGTAAACCATGACATCAAACAGCACGTTATGAAATATGGAAGACCTCTTAAAATGAGCACGCTGTTGCCAGTTATTCAAGTTTTATTCAAAATTATCTTTCAAAACTTCAGACCTTCAACGTTACTTCACAGTAAACAAACGCCTGTGCAAAAAATAAGCAAACAACCTGAGCCGTGTGAGGATCTACCAGCCCGGCAAGCCAGACAACAACTAGGAGGATAACTGTTGAAGTAGCGCTGCGAGCGGCTGCGGCCCAAACAGAACCAGAACCGCTCACGGCGCATGTGCAAACATGGCTCGCCAGCTGTTTCCCTGTTAACACACGTCCGTTCTCCCCTTTTGTTCTCACACAATAACGAGGATTGTTGAGAAAGCAGGTTTGCCGTGGTTTTGTCAAATTATACTGATCACACAACATTTATTTATTTTCTTTCGTTTTCCTCCATAAATACCCGTGTCCTCCTGCAGCGATCCCGAGGGACAACGGCCATCAGTAACAACACAATAAAAAGTCTGACGTGTTGTAAAAACTGCTATTTTTAGCACATTTTGGGTCCAACGTGTTGCTACCAGATGACAGCGTGAGCTGAAACTGAGCGCTACAAGCGAAAAAGTCGCTCGGTGTCCGCAGAATATACAGCGGACCTCCGAGTCCGCCTGCAGAAGTGACATTTACATGTGGATGTTTCCTGGTCAGGTGCTGCAGCATGGAGGATGTGGTGTTGTGTTAGGCTAGATCCACTTTACAGTATTTACACTGGACTACGTTTCCCACCTTACGACGTGAAAAATGCTCCCACACCTTTGACATTTCCTGTCTTTTTCGCACTCCACCGGGGTCCACGTGGTCCGCCATGGCTTAAGAGAAAGTTAAGTTACATTCGCTACTCGCGTGTGCATTCAGTGCAGTGTGTGTGTGCGTCGCTTATTTAGGTCCGGGTGAAACACGACCCCGGGCGATTGCAAAGCCGTGAATTAATTAAACATGAATTAAATGAAGACTCGAGGATTTTTTGTACTCAAATTATTCGAGGTACTCGAGGAATCGTTTCAGCCCCACGTGTGACGTCATCAGACGGTACCGTACGCACCAATCAGCTGTGCTGCGGCGTTGTCCATGCCTTCGACCGTTGTGCCTGTCCTGCTTGTACTTCTGTCCAGCTCCAGAGCGCTTCGCCTCGCTGCCCTGTCCTACATTTTTGTCTTGTTGCATCAGATTAGCAGTTCCCCTCACTGATGTTCTTATCTGCCTTCTGAATGACAGAGGAGTATAATGAAAGGATCAGGAAGCTGACGGCAGCAGGACAAGCATCGAAAGCTCCGCTCAACCGAAGCAGCGAAGCGGTGAGACACGTTTGTTGTTTTTAAACTAAAAAAGTCTCTAAATGCTGGTTTTCTGTCTACAGATCTGATCGATCATTTCCTGTTTTTGGCTCCTGAAGTAGAGCAAAGTTCTGACGTATGCTACGCTAACACACTCGTCTCCTCTCCGTTTCAGCCCTCCCTCGTACACGCCGATGCCAACACGTCCCGTCTGAGCTTCTTGAAAAGGGACCTGATGGTGAATTTGAACAACCTGTTCAAACTGGGTCAGGAGGGTAAATATCGGGTTTATCAGAACCAGTACAGCACCAACGTCCTGGCCCTCAACAAGCACCAGCACCGAGAGGATTACGACAAGAAGCGCCACCTCTCCCACAAGTTTAGCCTGACCACCACGTCGGAGTTCAAATGGAGCGGCTCCATCTACGGTTCCCGGAGCCTGACCGTCTCCACGCTGCGCCTGACCATCATCCAGCTGGAAACCAACGTGCCGGGACCGTTCATGCACCCCAACTGGGCTTCACACAGGTACGTCTCCGCGTCAGCGTGGAGGTGGTCAACCCCGCTTCTATCAACTAACTTTTAATCTTTTTTCTTTCATATTTTATGACTCCATGTTCTTTTAAACCTGAATGAGTGTTGTTGTTTTTTAAATGACCGATTCATAAAATTTAAATATTTGTATAGAACGAAAATTCCCAAATTTATAAATGTTGACAAACATCACATTTCTTATTAGTGACACAAACCCTTGTCTTAAAGAGCAAGTCACCCAAAATCAACAATTCTTGCTGATAAACTCTATAAATGAGCGTCTAATCGTGCTGTAGACACATGCAGTCAGTAATTTGGCACTTAAGTGCATCTTAGTTGAAATCTGAGGCCATGGTCTTGAGTCAGAAAAGGGCAGAACACCTTCTCCGGGTCAGGGATGAGGTCCTGCCCCAAGTGGAGGGGTTTAAGTATCTCGGGGTCTTGTTCCCGAGTGAGGGAAAGCTGGAGCGTGAGATCGATAGGCGGATTGGTGCTGCATCTGGAGTGATGTGGGCGTTGTACCGGTCTGTCGTGGCGAAGCTCTCGATTTACCGGTCGATCTACGTTCCTACCCTCACCTATGGTCACGAGCTTTGGGTAATGACCGAACGATAGAGATTGCGGACACAAGCGGCCGAAATGAGTATTTTTCGCAGAGTGGCTGGGCTCTCCCTTAGAGATAGGGTGAAAAGCTCGGTCATTCGGGAGGGGCTCAGAGTAGACCCGCTGCTCCTCCACATCGAGAGGAGCCAGTGCAGGTGGCTCGGGCATCTGGTCAGGATGTCTCCTGGACGCCTCCCTGGTGAGGTTTTCTGGGCACGTCCAACCGGGAGGAGACCTGAAGGTAGACCCAGGACACGGTGGAGGGACTATGTCTCTCACCTGGCCAGGGAACGCCTTGAGATTCCCCCGGAGGAGCTGGACCAAGTGGCTGGGGAGAGGGACGTCTGGGCCTCTCGACTTAGGCTGCTGGCCCCGCGACCCGACTGTCTCACCTTTATGTTAATGTTGTTTTATTTGATGCACTCCACTCTGAACTGCACTAATCCAGCAACTGCTGCATTTTAATAAACAGTATTAAAGGTGAATACACCAATATTTGCACAAGAATAAGTTTTGTTTTAAACTCTCAGTGACACACTTTGCAGGGGATTTGGCATTTAATTTTTCTTGGCGTCTGGAAAAACATCTCCTTCTGCCCCCTTTATTTGGTCCTAACTTGGCTGGCCCTATTAAACACGTTCTACACCCCTGCTTAGTAGACTTAATGAAGTATTTTTAAGCCAGTATAAAAATGACTGAAACACACATTTACATATTTGGCATTATTGACCAATATCTTTGATTTAATTTATTGTTAATAACATCAAGATGCGTTACAGTGAACATTATAATAAAGTACATGTTTCCAGTGCAGAGAGGAGACAACCCATAGAAGCACTGATGTGATCTCATTTCAGAGAAAAATAGAACAGGTCAGATGCACCTAATAAATAAAATTACTAATATAAACGCAGGAATCTGTTTCTTTGCTTCATCGTTCTGGTGCTGAAAACGTCACTAATGCAGATCAAAGGAGATACACAGATGAATGCACCTCTTATTAATTATTTAGAAATTAGTGGGTGTGGTTTACATCAATACACTATTTTAAATCTGAAATTGATTTGGATTAATCAGAAGTTGTTATGTGTATTGTTTACTGAGCAGCCTCAGAACTGAGATTAAATATGTTTGAGCACAATAGTAAAGGAATTATTACAGAACAAGTTTTTCAGTAAAATCAGAACATTAATATTTAAGTGCACGAATTAATACATCTGAACTCATGCAGTAGGAACTAGAGCCCTGCACTGTAGCCCGGCCCGACAGCCCGAGGGCCGGGCTTTGGGCTAACGACTGTGTAATTACCTCGGACACGGGCCGGGCGCCTTTATTTTTAATCAAATTCATAAAAAAACCTGAAACACTTAAACGCAGCAGCACCTGCCTGCTTCTCACGCACCGGCACCGTTAGCTCAGTTAAGGTCTGTGTGGTTTATAAATGCGCCGATATAAACGAATTCTCAAACTGCTGATTGAAACGTGCCCCTGTTCTCATGTGCCATTTTATGTCCACTTTGATGTCAGAAGCCGTTCGTTTACTCTCATGAAAACGGCAGCATTCTATTTTCTGTGAATAAATTTGCTCTGCAGTTTAAAAAAATACAGCATTCATTGCTGGTTTTTCTAACTGGAGAGCGAATTTTCAGAGCGGCAGATTAAATTTACAAATGCATCCAATTAATATAGTGTTCGTAAATTTCATCTGCCGCTCGAAAAATACGCTCTGTTAGAAAAACAAGCTGCATTGGTGCTGTTTTTCTTTCTTTTTCTTTTTTTTACTGCAGAACGCTTCTCACAGATAATTAGAATACTGAGCGTTCTATCGCACTAAAACATTATGAAAGGTTAAAAAATAAGTCGGGCTCGGGTCGGGCCAGAGAGTCCTGAAAACCTTTTTGGACCGGGTCGGGCTGGGGCTCCACCCCCTCGGGTCGGGCCGGACACGGGCTCAGATTTTAGGCCCGTGCAGGGCTCTAGTAGGAACTAGGAAATATGAAATACTAGAACCATTTTATTTTAATTTGATTAAACTGAACTGATTTTTTCCTAACGT